AAAATAATAATGTAAGATTAATTCCACAATAATCGAAATAAATAAACAATAATAGATGACACAAAAATCATCAAAATTGAATCAATAATTAGAAGTATGAACTAATTTAAAAACAATTGCATAACTTCACCTAAAGCTAAAGTTTACTTCTAAACTTTAAGATAGAAGTATAAAAGTACCAATATTATATTTTATATTCACAACATTACATAGTAAAATTTTACACGTATGACGTAACAAGTACATTAACGAGTTATACTGCATTTTGTTTCCGTAACAAAAACTGCCATAAAATTATATAATTTGCTTTTTGATGCATCTTGCATTTTACGCAAAAATAAATAAGTTTTTCTTTCATAAAACAGTTTCAATTCGAATATGAATAATTGAAACATTTGAGTTACACAGGTCACTAGTTGCGACTCACAACTATATATATTTTTGTAAATAATCAGCAATGTATACAAAATCAATTTTAGAAAAAATATGATTGACCATTTGGATAATTTTGAATCGCTTACAATCCCATGCATCTGATACAGAGACGCGAAATGAAATCAAGATCAAGCACGTGTCCACCCTGAGAGAAGGACGTACGTAGAAATATAAAGTCACTTAATAATGCGTATAAATGTATTTATACATATAGATGAGCGTAAATTAATCAAAATATTTTATAGTGTCATGATGTTTACAATGTTTTATGATGTTTTCATTGTTTTATCATTGCAATAAATTGTGATTATTATTAATATTAAATCGTATTTAATATAAGCTAAAATTATTCTGTTTCAAAATATATAAATAAATTGATTAAAAATCATTATAAAAAATCTTATAAGTAGAAAAAATAATTTCCGTTTACAAAATTGACAATACACACACTCACATATATATATAAATAGAAATCTTTAATATGAACCAAAATTATATATATATATATATATATATATATATATATAATTTTGGTTCACATTTAAGATTCCTTGAACTCCTTGGGATTTTTATTGACACATTTATACCGCGAAAACATATGCAAATACGCTCAATCTATTTATTTAGTCTTTTTAATCAATATTCAAAACACCGGACATTAGTAATGACGTTCTCGATACAATGGAAAAAATAAAGGAGCTATTATTTTTCAATTGGCTTTATAGAGTAAAATTTGCCAAAGAAAGATAATATTTGATATTTTTAAATACATGCATGCTACATACTTACATTTATATATATATATATATATATATATATATATATATATATATTTACAAACAACCCTCCTATAACGCGAGTGCGTATCGCGTATTTATTTTCGATGATTGATTTATTACAGAAATCAATGGCCGAAACAATAATATCGACTTTTTATTTAAAATGTTAGAAGCGTTGAAACAATATGAAATCAACTATATACAACACAGACAAATGTATTTGCAAAAAAAAAAAAAAAACAGAATAAAAATGTCAATTTCTTAATTAAAAAAGTCTATACTTGTCCCAAGCGATCTTATTAGTATTGAAGATCAATTTCGCGACGTCTTCGAATTTCCGAGGCGACGCGATTGTGCATTGTTTTAGACGGACAATCTGGGTATTCTGAGCACGATAAACAATAGTGCAATGAAACGATAAAAATCTCAGAAATCATTGAAAATTCAGGGATGGAATTCAAACCTTGAACTCATTAAGGAAATAAGAAAATGAAAATAAATGAAGCAATTCCAATAATTAGACTGGATTTTAATAATTAAAAAAAATATTTTTCAGTAATTAATAATAACATTTCATATATTTACCATAGTATACAAATTAAATAAATAAGTAAATAAGCAATTCTATATTTAAACTATTGTTTGAGTGAATGTTTTTAGGAAGGAAGAAACTATTACTCGATTCCATTCAAAAAGGATTCTAATTAAATATAATATTTCTCTTAAAATAACTAACAATAAATGAAGTATAATTCGCAAAACATCCTGCGAATTAAAAAAAAACTTGAACCATTTATTCCAGGTGTGAAAGCTAAGCAGCGTGTAACATGAAGGAAAGTGTGAGTAAATCGATTTCATATATAAATACATACACCCATCGCCCGTTTTATACGTTTTCGATCTTTCGCGGTTTTTGAAAATATTTTTTTTACAGAATTTATTGAATTTGTATTTACACGAAATTATAAACAATAAACTATAATTTGTTTATATCTACATAACATTTTGATTGTTTTACTGTCAAAATAAAACACTACAAAATGTATGTTACAGTTACGAATTTTTAGTAGCCTATGTCTATGATGAAAATCTAGATTAAAATATGGGAACTTCCCGTTTCATGATCAAAACTAAATTTTATGTGTGTTTAAGCTAGTTTGTTTGAAATATCACAACAAAAAGCATCGTTGTTTTTAAACATTGTTTTTAGTGTTTATACATATATAGTTGATTGCGTAAATTTATTCAAGGCGAACAAATAACAGAATCATTTTTTACAAAATGTTTCATTTATAAAGCAAAATTATAGTCCTGCAATGGCAAAAGATAAAAATAAATAAACAAGAGAGTAAAAGAAAGGTTATGTCTGTACAGACCAATTTTAATTCTTATCTATAAAAAAATGTAATTCCTAATAGTTTTTTATATTTGTTTTATTATTGAAATAAATTAATTTTCTTGTAATTTATTAAATGTGTTTGATGTTAAATATATTAATATATATTTTTCGTTCAATGTATTAATTATTCATTATATTAAAAACTTACAAAAAAAGATTTTTTATAGTGATTTTCGTTTAGCACGGTTTTTCCATATAAAAGTGATTTTTTCCAGTTACATGTTTTTATCTGGAACGTATCTTAGGATAGGTGTAAATGTAGAAATGACATTTCTATCTTAGACCCCGAACAGTAAATACATAGTTTCGACAACTTGTTAAGTTATCATGATAATTTGTGTGTTTTACCAACTGTGATGTTAGAAAATATATATTTTAGCAATGTGCACATACTCATACCATGAATTAATAATGTTTTCATATGTTATATTAGGATACAAAATTTTAAATTAATTGCCACCGAATGAAAGCTAAGATGCCTAATAAATTTCTAAAAACTCTCAAACTAATTATATTGATGTAACGCCGACTTTTTAACTCAAATTAAACACACACACACACACACACAAATATATATATATATATATATATATATATATATATTAGGGTGGTCCTTAAAATGGTCATTTTCGAATTTCCTTGCTCCCAGGGGCTCAAATGGTTCCAAATTGATAAAAAACAATTGTCTGAAAGTTTTAGCTCTTAATATTAACGTTTAAATAGAGCGCAATTCAATCAAACTTCGAATGGAAAGAGGAGAATTTTTTGAAAATTTAAAAAAAATGTTGTAGGTATAACTTAGCGACAAATGAATGAGTTTTATTCATTCATTTGTTCGCTAAATTACATCTAAAAACATTTTGAAAATTTTTCCATGCTATTTCCATACAAAAATTTCATTGCATTGCGCTCTATCTAAACGTTAATATTAAGAGCTAGAACTTTCAGAGAATTGTTTTTTTTTCTATGTGGAACCATTTGAGCCCCTGGGAGCAAGGAAATTCGAAAATGACAATTTTTAGGACCACCCTAATATATATATATATATATATATATATATATATATATATATATCAGGATGTTCCGTAATATGGATGTTTGCGATTCGAAATTCGGTAATTCGAAAATTTATTAATAATTATTATTTTTCGCAATTATAGTAAAAAAAATATGAAAAACATTGATATACAATTAAAACTAAATTTAGACTACTATTGGAACAAAAGTTTTTTACCTCGTATTGATCTACACAAGAACAAAAAATGCAAATTTTTTATCGCGGTCGCACAACCTATTATACCGGTGAATGTTCTGACCTATGTGATCCGAACTGATATTGAAAATCGTTTTAATTATGCATACGCGATTGTTGGAACTTTAACTATATGTTACATATGTGTAACGAATTGATATTACATAGACAGAGCCATTCAACTAATAGATGAATGAACTAGAAGCCAAAAGATGGTAATAAAATACTATAGTGATAAGATTTCGATTTCAATTGATGCAACATTTTCAAATATTTGGAAATTCGGGAAGAATTCAATAGAAATATAATATTTTTATTAGATTAATAATCATAAATTTATTTATAATAGATACAACATATATCTAATCTTCACATTGAGTTTGCAGGACACGGTAAATGGTAAGTTATATATTCGAAATATACAAATTCCTCCTTCTCAAATAATATATAAGCTAGATTTAATACAAAAATAATTAAGTATCGAAGCAATAAATCCATTAACATTTACATATCGCAGACCCATCGCCGGTTATTTGATAAAAATCAGATCAGAACTACAAGTTTGTCATTATCCCCTGGGCTAACATTTTTTGATCGTAAAGAAATGTGGTGTAATAATTGGGTTTTAATGTGCAAGAAAGATTATGTATTTTTAAAATAATTTGTAAATTAAAAATAGATAATCAACTTCGAGCGTTGATTTATTTTTAGGTACAACAATGACCCGTGGTTGTACAAAACAAGCGGTAAATAAATTTACTTTTGACAACATAATGAAATTTGAACTATTTGAAAAAATTTTAATTATCATTGACCGATTGTACAATACATTAATGACTATAGTGATAAATAGACATTAAAATATTTAAAAATAATAGTGGTTAATTATATGATGAAATTATTAGTAAGTTACTAGAAGTTATTAGAAATTATTAGTAACCCTAGCACAAGACTTGCATTACATTTTAATTTAATTTGTTACTCTATTAATTTATTTCTGTATTCGTATACTGTATTTATCAAATATAATTTTAAGTTGTAGACAAACTTAAATGTGCCGATTGTTGAAATATTAATGGTTGCAAAAATTGGTATATATATATATATATATATATATAAAGTGTGTTAAGCTCACCATATCACATTCTTCTGGGTCTGCTACCATTCCCTTTAATTTATATCGTATTCCTTCTTTGGCTAGGCGACCGGCAAATTCTTCACCAGTACCCGTCTGAGATCCATAAAACACTACTAGACTACGACCTGAGCTCTTCAATTTCTTGATGAACGAGTTTTCTGCTACTGCCAATGTACTTGTACTAGTTGGCCTGGAAGAAATGAGAAAAAAAATTGTAACATTTAATCTATAAAAGTAATCTATTTAATATTGAAATAAGATTTAATAAAAATATCGACAAAACAAAATAAAATAACTGGATCCAAAATATTCTAATTTATGTGAATTTACAAAGGCCTCATCAATCGAATATATGTACAATTTTAGATTGATGTTTTTGAATAAACAACAGGTTTTTGCCTGTTAGGCAACAAGTAAAAGACCAATTTAAATAATAAAAATATATTGTTATATTTATATAAAGAAACATAAATACTAATACTTATTAGAAATTATATAAAATTATAAACAACAATTAAGCTGTTTACATCCTACGAAAAGTCAAGTAATTTATTCGTAATTTAGTCAATCGTCAATTGCTTTCACACATATTAATCGCTGAGAATCATTTATTTAAATTCAATACAATAAAATCTTTAACAGACACCAGTGGCACTCGGCAACAGCTGATCCATCGTGCGAAGGAAAGTATGTACAATGAAAATAAAAGCTTGTGATGTTCTATTATATAAATAATTAACAGTAAATAATTATTGTGTATGCTAGAATTTGTATAAATAATTAGTTATTATTACTGCTGAGATTATTTTCACAATAAAAAATGAATGGAAGTTTTAAACATGGCATAAAAGTAGGCTCGTTGTTTTGTCATGACAAACAGTCGTGATATGTTTATGTTCATGTATATATATATATATATATATATATATATATATATATTGTATATAGTAATGTCAATGATGATTACGAAGTTTTTAGAAAAATTCCAAGGCGCTTCAAAATTATTGTAAGATCACTAACAATTTAATCATTATCAATTAAGATATATAAGTGTATGATTGACGATTAGATATTTTTAAATGTACATATTTATAAATAAACATTTATAAAAGTGTTCAATCCAGCACTGAATTCTTTTTAACAAAAGCAAAGTTTTAATATATTTGGCATGAAAGCACGTGAAGTTTTAAGGCTATAAACATTTTGAAAATACAGCATATTTTTGCGATGATACATAAATTTTAATTCAATATGCGTTAATAATAAATTTATCAATAGAGTTAATTGCTAATCTAACGAAACCATATGTTCAAGGTGAAATATTTTTGATAGCGTATCTATAAAGTAATGTACATACTTAAAATTATTGAAATTGAAAAAAATCAAATAAAGAGAGAGCAATTCATACCCTTATGTTTTTTTTTTCATTTTAATAGTAATAATAGTAAAACTTCGTAAATGATAATAAATATGACGAAGAATTTGATAATGATGGAAGATATCGAATAAATCTAATTTTTATTATTAGATAGTACAATACTTGTTATAATTGAAATAGCATGAATATCAAATTTTAAGTTAATAAATATTTCAGAAAATAATTTAAAAATAACGAAGAAGACCAATACAAAGAAAAATAATTCATATTGAATACAAAATTATTTGTAATAGAGATACAAATTGCTAAATACAAATTCCATGAAAATATTGAAAATACAAAATTTATAATTTGAAATTATTTTCAATTCACGACATAAAATTATAAATGGAAATACACTTTTTCTAAATTATTTTCTAGGCAAACTTTAGAATAAAGCAATCAATATTGATAAAATATAATAAAAATAATAATAAATAATATTATATTTTTTTAAATTTAATTTGTAGAGATTTATGATACGTTCATATCAAATCAACCTAATATACTGATACAAAAAATTAATAGCTAATATATAAAAACCAAATTGAGATAATTCTCAAATGTTTAATTCGATTTTACTTCAATATCCCTTATGTTTCTTAAATCCTTTAAGAATCATTTCACGACTCCTTTACATCTCCTAATGGATAGCTATAAATACCGTAAGTAATGAAAACACAATACGAAACCGAACATCAATTTACACATAAAAATGTACAATTGAAATCAATATAAATAATACTGTTCAGTAGAGAAAAATCTGGGAATCCTGTACAAATATTACAAATCTCTAAATTTAACGAAAATTTCTTTAACATTTGTTGTTAAAGATGCATATAATAATAATTTGAAAACATCACATCAATGAACTTACTGTATAGAGTACGATTTAACAGTGAGAGTTTCTTCTTTCTTCTTCTTGTTCTTCATGTACCACCACGTGGCGACACCAACGATGCCAGCCAGGAGCACGACATCCAGAGCTCCGAACAAAGGTTCGTCGTCCATTGGCTGGGCGCCTATTGTGCTTTCACCTTCCATCTAAATAAAAATAATAATTTTATACGATAATAAAAAATAGTAATTATTAAAAGACTAGTGGTGTTTGGCATAGTGCCTTAGACAAATTGCTGGAACTTCCAGCACTGAATTTTTTTTTTTTAAAAAAAAAGCTTCAAATTTTTTTGAAAATTTTGGAAAGAAATCTGAGAATTTTGAAATTTTTCGAAAAAAATGATTTTTTTTTCAAAGCAATCGCGTTGCGTTATATATTTATTATACTATTTTAGTTACAAAATATCGAAAGCTCCGCGTCACAGTCTAAAACATTGGTACGCCGTACGGAACCCATAAAAACGTAAACAAAATTTGTACAATATTGAAAACTCTATAAAATATCTGATAATTTGATGTGGGTATGTCTAATAATCATTTTTGATCGCCAAATGTTTTTTTTACTTTTTTCATTAGATCTCCAAAACAACTGGGCCTGCCTTCCCAAAAATTTAGTTAGTTTATATTTAATTCATTAATTTTATGATTGTATTAATATTAATGCAAATTCTGTAGAATTGAAATAATGCACATATTCTATCTATTTCAATATATTGGTATTTTTTTGTATTTTATTTTATTATAGTTTCAATAAAAATTAACCTTCAAATATTATATGACAGAGTCTATTTTATTTAAATTATGGCGAATAAATACTGAAAACCTATTACGAATGCGAATTTTTTACTTCGGTAATTGAAAAAAATTAGAAAATCAAATATTTTGAATTATGATTATAGCGAACTATATCTACTAGTAACATTATATAAAAAATCCACTTCTATATCAAATTTATCTAATTATTCATAATATAATAATATCGTTCATTCATAATTTAACATTGATTTTAAATCTATATATGTACATTAATATCAATTAATGCTATTAATTTTGTTTTAATTGAAAGAAATATACCCGGTTTGCAATGACGTGTTAACTATGTTTAATAGTTACCACTTATTATAAACTTTAAAAATTCCGAGGCTAAATTATTACAAAACTGTGTGAGTAAACTTCAATTAATAATTTTCAAAATCATGCCAAAGTAACTAGATTTATAATTATTTCAAACATGATAATATTTTAATGATGTAATTTTCTTAAAAAAGTAGATAAATTTAGAACAATTTGCACTACTTTAAGTAATTTTATAAATACGTAAAATATTAATGCATGCATTTGATTTCTTATCATTTAATTATCGATTAGATGATTTAATCAAGTCATCTAATTGATGGTAAATTTCATATAAATCATTTATCAGTTTTCCGAGTGGAAATTTGACTTATACTCAATTTTGAGTACACTTTTACTACGCCAACTGATCGAGATTTATATTAAAACTGAAAGTCATTAGAAGAGGTATGTATTCGCATGCCTACTTATATATTTCCAATATCCGGCATTTTTTAAAAATGTTTTCCTGACTATTCAAATATATGTCATAAACAATTTTAAATAAATAAAGCTGAAACCGTTACTAACAATATTTGGATAATATTTTACATAGATTCGATTTATGTGCATATATTTATAAAAGTCAAACTGTTTGTAATGCAAATAATCCATTATTCATTCAATAATGATAAGCAATAATACATTAGGGCAACTCAAGATATTATTAAAACAATCGCACATGATTTACCTAATAAATTAAATTTTATTTATTATTATATCACAATACCACAAAAGTTGGTTTTTCCATTCCACGTGTGACGCCAATGTTTAATGTCATCACCGCTCGATTTATTAAATATTAGACATACAAGAAAAACATTCAATAAATGACCATTAAAATGTTTACATATAACAAAACAATATTGATTAACTTTTAAGCATTTTAATCAAAATGCATACATACGACTTCAATGTCATTGTTGCGTAGAATAAAAACTCCTCAATCCATGCAAAAGAGTTGCTGATGTAAGCGAAAACATACATGCCAAACACGTAGATTTAAGCTAAATCTAAGAATAAAATATAAGGGTATACAACAATACATTCAAAGTTTCTCTCAATTCGTTTTCAGATTACATTAATTATATTTTATTTGATTGTTCATTATAACTGAAAGTTGTATCAACAAATAATAAAAAGTTTATATCATTGTACCTTAAAGGCAAATCGATCAAACTGTCCGCTTTATAAAAAAATAACAGCTAAATAATATTGATTAACAAGTAATACCGGAATTTGAAAATACTGCATAGAAAAAGTACAGAGCATACATACAAAAGTATATTTTTACTGAATAAAATTAGAAATTAGAAAAATAGCTGTTAGGTAAGTTATTGTAATCGTCCAAAAATCGAAATTGATCAGTCTTTATCAAAAACAAATGGGCTTTGCTTTTAGTCAAAACGAGGCTGCTCCTAAGGAATTATTTGCATAAATTATCTACAGTATTACAAAATGAAAGGATGATCTTATATAAATCCTATATTAAATTTAGAATAATCATTTTTTGCAATATCAATGAAACAATTATTTTACGAAAAGTTAACACGTTTTATTCGGCTATAGAATAGAACGTTAAAAATAATCAAGTAAAGTATTTCATTAAGTATGGATGTGTTGCATAAATCTCACTTATGAGCATCACATTTCAAATACATACTATTTGAATATACAATTTTTTCGGTGAAGAAATACAAAAATCAAATTAAAAATATAAACAGAATATGATAAAAAAATAAGAACAAGTAGTCGAATTCGGCAGATATATATAACAATGCACATGCATATATCTCATAGTCGCAGATCAAAATTATCAAACAACCTACTATTTTAATAAATAAAAACATAAAAAATGGAATCCAAGAAATAACGAGTATAATGTGTAATTTGAACAAAATGAGTCAAGGCGATACGGACAGGTTCCACAGGGCTAACAAGTCGAAAGGTAAAATGATTCAATTAACCAATGACACAAGTTGAGTCGTCTCATAGAAATTTAAAATATATTTTACAGCTGATAATTTCAGTCAAAAACAGACTCCAATTATTATTTAATTCAAAGCGGTCGGTTGTTCAATTGCAATGAAGGTCAAGCAATTATTTAGTCAAATGTACTTGAACCAGAGCGCGGAAGTATCGAATTGTACTAGGATAATCAAAAATTCTGAAAAAAAATATAAATTATATTAACTTATTTTAATATCAATAGTAACCTAAATATAAAAATTCTGCACTTCAACACAAAACTAATCAACATTCTACACAAAAACAAATCGAACCACTATAAGTGATAGTAACGTTCAACAAATTATATTATAGAGAGGGTAGGGCTTTGACAGAAGATCACAAAATATTACGTGAGGGAGGGATCTTATTGGGAGTAAAATATACTAGCTAAAAATATGTAATTTTTAGGTTTTTATTTTATTACTCGAAATTATTCAATATTAAAAAATTCAAGTATTTTACTATTTTGCAATCCTGATTAAATGCGTCAACCACTTTTTAGTACATTAGTTTTAGATGAGAGCCTATCAAAGTCGACCGATTTTGGAAATTTTAAATTTATAGTTCAACAAAAGTCTTACTTCTTGAAAAATTGGGGTAATTGTGTTATTGTTTTTGATTGTGGTCCTAGAAATATTCACGATTATGGTTCCAAAGTTTAAATGAACAAAATTAGTAAAAATTAACCACAATAGCAAAAAAATTTGTCATAATTTCACCAAAGCTCTAGGTTGCACTTAAAAGCTGGTAATTTTTAAACATTTTATTATTATCTATATCAATCTCTAGAACCTGTTATAACTTAAAACTATAATCGTACGGTAGGATAAAACCTTAATTTTCTCATGGAAATCTTCAAATACAAATACAAGTCGATTGCTCATCATTAAAACCAATTTCACCATGTCAATTAGTCAAACCATCATTTCTCTAACGTTAAGTTTAAGCTTATTCCCAATGATCTCATAAATAGCCATTTGTAAACGCTAACATTATTATTATTATTATTATTACTATCTTATTATTATTATCTTATTATTTCTGATATTGTTATTTTGTTATATTTTATTGTTTTTCTAGTATTATTTTATTATTCAGAAATTTTATTTACATTAGTTATTAATTTTATTTTTATTATTATTTGCTTTTATTTTATATTAAATCATCATACTACGGATATTATTTTAATGTAAATTCTATCCTTTGCACTCTTATTTATTTAAATTTATGTTATTATTTATCATTATTGCTAGATGTTAATTATTTAACAGTTGTAATAAATTAAAAAAAAAACAAGTTTAAGCTTAGAAACAAAAAAGAATATAGGCGTATATTTGATATTCATGTATAAATATTTAATTTGGGTTGTTTTTATTAAAATTAATAAAGTATTTTTCATTATTAAAATATCAGTTATAAAAAATCACGCATGATTTGAACAATGCATGAAATAACAATGATTTGGCGCTACTAGACCTAATTGACTATTACACAAATTCACGATAGCATTGAACTTTGATCATTTGTAAATGAGCTTGTCTTCGAATAATTCAATTAACTGGTAATGTAAGCGATTATGCCCGGTTTTCACTATCGTTCAAATTGTTTTCAATAAACTCTTCGTTAAATAAAAAAAAATGGAGCAATCATCTATCAAACGGAATCATCATCAACTTGCATCATAATATATAGCTTTACGTCACGCATAATTACCAAATTAATATGCAAAGACAAAATTAAACAGGCACATAAGAAACTTAATAAAGAACGATTTAATATTATTTAAAAAAAAATATTCACCTTTTTTGTTAATTCGTACATAACATCATTTAATAAAGAATTCTAAACCCTTTTGCTTTAATGAATTATTTTTGCAAACTATCAATCATCTACTATAAGATAATACTGGCACGATTACGTTTATTATATACGGTGCTCTTGAAATTTAATCATAAATTAATTAATTTAAATTTAAATTTAAATTAATTTTAACATTTTTACACGACTAGAGAAGTTTTGTAGGC